AACTTTTAATATAATTTTTAAATATGATTTAACTTATATTTTTTTTCTTACAAGTTTGAATATAAAATCAATTTAAAAAAATATTTTACACATTATTCAAAAGAGAACAACATTTTGGGATTAGGGGAATAAAACTTTTTTTAAATGCAAAAAATAAAAGTAAAAATAAAAATTGCAGCCACATACTCCGTATTTTGTTATTAAAATTTGCTACCTAAAAGGAATCAGAAAGAAATGTAAAGGCAGTTTGTGATTCTCAACCAGGGCCATAGAAGAATTTAGCATAAAATTAAAAACTACTGCATCAAAACACTAATGCAAATCCAAACAAAACTTATTTATGAATTTCTATAAAGATTAAACTTTAATCTAAACATATGTAGAAAATTATAAACATTGATCATAGTTTCATTTCCATTGCATTTTCAGTGAAAATACCTCCACACTAAATTGACTTCCCTTGGCATTTTTTCATTTCCTTTTTTTTGGGAATTCAAACATAGGTTTTTTGACACTCAATGCCCATCTCATATTATAACACCAACTGATTTGAGGGCCCTACGGTTCCCCGTTCAATCACAGAGTTGTTCTTACCGCCTATGAACCCCATCCCCAGCCTATCCCTATCCCCACCCCCATGTGGTTAGGGTCAGGGTTGGGGGTAGGAGGGGCGGTAGGTGGCGGTTTATAGGTGGTAAGAATAGCGTGCAGAAATGGATCGTGTTGTAATTTGACACTCAAACCCAATGCCAAAAGTACTTGGTTGTAATAATATGTTCGGAAATTTGCTATGATTTATCGTAAGTTTGCTCTAATCTTCAATTAACAGACTAACTACAAACACTCTTACGGTAAGTGCTGAACCAGTAAGAGGTCTGAACCAGTAAGAGGTCTGAACCATTAAGAGCTAGTATATTGCTTAACTATTCAGAGGCAAATGTCTGATCAATTCAGATAAGAGATCTTAACCATTCAGACTCTGTATAATACTTAACCATTCAGAGGCAAATCTCTTAACCATTCAGACATCTGAACCATTAAGAGGCTGAAACAAACAGTCTGAACCACTAAGTGCTGAACCATTCAGACATCTGAATCATTAAGAGGCTGAAACAAACAACCCCTTAGAGTGCTATTGCTAATGCAGCATGAATTATCACTTATTTTGTTAACAAAAAATTGCTAAGTAAAAGGAATCGAAGAGAAATGTAAAGCCAGTTTGTGATTCCCAATTAAGACTATAGAAATATTTAACAAAAATTAAATCCTACAGCATCAAAACGTTTTTGGAAAGCCAATATTTTCAGAGAGACCAAAGCAAACTCTGAATTATTTCTGGTGTAAGAAACAAGCATTTTCAAGTGGTTAAAATGCATTACGACAATGCAGGACGTGAATAGTTCCTAGAGTAAGATTGCAGTTGCAGGTATTGTATTGGTTACCGTATTCTGTCCCAGAGGAGCGCGGAGAGCTAGTTGATCAAAGGTCAAGCATTCACCGCCAGACTTCTCAATCCTAGCCCTTGCCGTCTTGGTAAACCTCAGAGCACAAACCTTCAGTGCCGGGACATCGTACACTCTTACGTCATCCGTGATAGTGCCCACTACAACAGCTATCTTGTCATCCTATACAGGCACAATACGCGGTCGAAGAGAGACATCAGATGAAAAGGAAGAAGAGAACAAGGAATTTCAAACAACTGCAAATGGAGACACAAACACAACATTACCTTTTCCTTCATAAACGAAATAAGCCTAGAGAGCGAGAGAGGAGGCTTGTTGGTCTTGCTCATAAACAGACGCTTCAGAATCACAGCATTGAACTTGCTTCCGGTTCTTCTCACCAGAAATCGGTAAAGCTGTAGAAACAATCTACCGCTTTAGAATTACACTCTATTATCCCCAAATTCAAGCCCGAAATGGGAGTCATTGTGCACTATTCATGGGTGAAACATTATCGTTCCTCATTTGGCAAAATTATACAGTGATTCATTTCTTGTTTAGACGATATCGCTTTAACGGGGATGCGAACATATGCATTGCAAAATGCATAAAAATGAAGAGCAAAAACAGAAATCAAATCCGACCTTGACGAGAAGTTTCAAGTAAACATCTTCGGACTTCGGAGCTGTGCGCTTGGTTTGCTTGCTTTTGCCCCCAGCTTTCAGATCGATACCCTGCAACGAAATTGATGGAAGGAAGTTATAGTAACAAATCCGTGCAGGAATTGAAGGAGAATGGAGCAGAGGAGACGGAAGAGGAGTACCATGGTCGAGCTTCAGCAGAGTAGTGGGAACGATCGGCCGTGAGATATCAGCGAATGAAATTGATGATGCTAGGTTTTTTGTGTGGTTTCGGGCTTTAACAATATAGCTGGCCGAAGCCCATCCGAAATGCCGAAAACGTGGATGGAAGTTTGTTTGCTCAACTTATTTGTGTTATTTATGTACTCAGTATGTTTACATTTCTCATTTCTCTCCGTCCGAAAATAAAGTTTACATTTCTAATTTTAATCCACACTCTTCCAAAAATACTCTTCTCCATTTCAATCTTCTCTCTCCCTCTCCCCCCTTCCTCCTCTTCTTAGTTCTTCTTTTCTTTTTTTCTTTCTCCGCCACTTTTCAATCCTCTCTCTCCCCCTCCCTCCTCCTCTTCTTCTTCTTGCTTTTCTTCTTCTTTTCTTTCTCCCGACCCCTATTCTTTCTCCCCCCCACCCCTAATTNCCTAATTGAGGACGAGATGGTGCCAAGACGCTGCGGCTTCCCTGCTGGACGACGATGGGCTGTTCCTGGTGCTCCTATAGGGGAAGAGAGTCGTGGAGAGCCGGGTCAGAAGGGGCTGAACGGCCGGGCTTGAATCCGGGTCGATGCCGAAGATCCGGAGGCGGAGGGACATCCTCGACAGCGATGCTGAGGATCCGTGGAGATTGGCTCTGGCTTTGGGCCCATCCGTGGAGGCCGATGCCGAAGATCTGGAGGCGGAGGGGCGGGAGAAGCGCGGCGGCCTATCGGCTATTTTCCGATTATGAGCCGTCGGGTCAGAAGGAGACTGGAAAGGGGGCATTTTGGTCATTTTACAAGGTTAGTCAACATCCCTTAAAAATGACCAAAAGTCAAAACGTAAACTTCAATACCGGACGGAGGGAGTATTTATATTATTATTAGAGTTAGATCAAATCAGAAAAATAATTTAAATATGACTATAATCTGATACAACCAGATCAAACGAAGAGAACCAGCTCTCGGAATTGACTAGTGCAAATCCTTTTTGAAATTATAAATTTTTTATTTTTGATTGGGCGAAACCGTGATCGGTATTAGTAAGGGATTTTAGACCATTTTGAGTTTGGAAGGGTTTGTAGTTTTAATTTTAATATACTACCTTTGTTCAATAATATGTGTTTGGTTTTGACTTTCTGTAATCAAAATGATTAACTCACTTCTTTAGTCCTGAATTAATCGTCTTCGTTTTCCTTTTTAGTTTGTTCCTAAATAATTGTCTCAGTTCTTTACTTTCTTCATAAAATAAAGAATATTTGGTCTACAATCTTTCTCTTTAGTCTAATTAAATTTCAATCACTCGCCCATTTCCTTTTCTTAAACTTCGTGAAGACAAGCTGCGACAATTAATTCGAAATGAAGAAAGTACCATGCAAGAAACTAAACAAATTGAAAATTAGCTCATAAAACTAAAAAAAATTAACATAATCAAACTGGAAATGCTAGTTCTAGTTCCAAAGATGAGAACCATAACTGGAACTCCTATCGTCATCTCGGTTCTAGAACATTCCCCACCATTTCAATTCAAATTCTGGACTGGAACCATGTCCACCTCTAGATATGGGGTTGTCTAATACGACAAAGCTTATGCCTGGAAGTCTTAAGATGGCTTGACCTAAAGCCTTTTAAGATAAAATGTTTAGGGTTCATATTAGAGTGGATGTGGTTTAACTTCAAAATCAGTACTAGAACAGTACTCGTAAAGGGCTTGGAGAAAAGAATTGAAAATCATCGTGGATGTGTGAGGGAATGTTATGCCCTAAAAACTCGACCTATCAAAATTAATTAATTAATTAATTAAGAATAATTAATTAATTATTGAGACGGACCCAGAGTTTATTTTAAATATTTGTTAATCAAATATAAAGGTTATACCATTGTGTAGGGTTCGACGAGACGAATCCAACAGTGCAAGGGAATTTGAATTCGAGACATGTAACACCCTAATCCGTCCAGGTCTGCAGCCCCTTACAGACTTAAGTATTAACTTGGTAACGTAAAAATTTAAAACATTTCAACAGCTGAAACTTTATTTCATTATCATAAACATTTAGGAATTGTAACGGAGTTTATCAAATTACAGAAGCTTAATAATTTTAAATCACAACCATTAATTTATTTTTGAAATAATTATTGAACAATTCAAAACCATCACACGTCCATCTGGTATCTCGTGTCTCCATCTGCCGCCAAGATCAATCACATCATCCTTTATTTTATTTACTTGCGTGTGTCAAAAAAACATACTACATGCTCAGCATTGAAGCTGAGTGATGATATCTAATACATCAAACATTCATATAAATTGAATCTCAATTCATAATTAAATATTTTGCCATCATGCACACAATTTTCATTTAAATTATTGAATATTCATACTATCAACAGTGCTCTTAAACTATTTTCAGTCTAAGACCAATTATAACAATGCTCTTAAACTATTCTTAATCTAAGACTAATTTATATCGATCCCAAAGTGTAACACACCAATTCGTATAACCCGAAATTATAAGAATTAAGGTGAAACGGGAGCAATATTTTTAAAACTTTTCCAAATCATTAAATAAAATTCATAAAACAAAACTTCAAATGCAAAATACTAAATTTGGATCGATCCTTTTACAAAATGTCAGATATAGCGGAAGACTTAAAATAATACAAATACAACTATGTGGGTCAAACCCAAAATTTCAAATGCAATGGTTGTGAAAATCATGCATGTCAACCTGCCATCTTATCGTCTCTTCGCCCTCCGGTTGGTTCACTTAATCTGTGTTTCGAACTACGTGTAGACAAAAAGACTACACGCTCAGCATAAAGCTGAGTGGTACGATAACACGAGAGATCGATAACATATTCATGCTTAAATACCATGCATCACATTGGCCACATAATTTTCATGGTTGCATAGTAGATAGCACAAGATACAAGATACATGCATACATATCATGGAGATTCATTTTGGAATATTAACCAAATATAAATACCTTGGCCTTGTCCTCAACGATGTTGGATATGAAGTGCGGTACGTTTTGCAATACCACACACAAGTTGATAGTTAAGATCTATAATTACTTAAAAACGATGTAATGCTAGATAATTTATGATGCATGAGTTAGACTACGCAGGGACCCCCTGCCCTTCGGTGATCATACCACGCGGTGATGAGCCAAGAAAACCTTAGTCTTCTAAAGGAGACTATAAAATGTGGGTGGTAACTTAAAGCCTAGTTACAATGTACGTAAACAATCCCTCGTGATGAAACCCGTTGGATCCCGAAGGCTCCTAGACGGGCCCGCGGAAGAGGCGCACTAGGCCTGACCTCATGACGCGGTATGCAATGGTATGTCGTGATCTTACGACATGCGTCTAGGATGATGATATGATGTTATGAATGGTATACTACCTTTGGATTTAAGTGAGCACGCTTGACTTATGATCCTGAAGTCTTATTTTGAAAGCTAAGTCATGGTTTTTAATCCATATTTCAATTATTGATTCTTACCTTGAAAGCACTTTAATTTGTGATCTTTCTAAAAGTTCAACAGCCCCTGATAATCGATTTTCACTTGTTGATAATCGACTATCAAAGTTCAGCACCCTCCGATAATCGATTGTCACTGGGTAATAATCGATTATCAAATGTTCAGCAGCCTTTGATAATCAATTGTCACTTGGTGATAATCGATTATCAAAGTTCAGCAGCACCTGATAGTAGATTATGAGAACTTGACAATCTATTATCACAGTACTTGAGTTCTACTTTGGTCTGTCGAATTACGCTCAAAATTTTGAAAATTATAATGAACATTCAAGATTACAATATATCCATATATGTAGTACCTATATATGTCAACGGATTGATAGGTGATTTCTTTTAATGAATGCCATACCATATATCTTTATAACGAGAAAACTACGATCATACGGCTTCAACGAAGGTTATGCGAAGTAGTAGAGCATATAAAGCAATAAATACACATACGTTCATATATGTACAACACATACATTTGGGCATGGATTTACGTATTCATGTAATCATCTAAATGTAGTCTATGTGTTTTCCAACTTATTCATTCACATGTCAAATTTGTACACATATATGTATCAAGTGATGCCATTAAGATATTCATTGGTATTTCCTCAAGTCTAACCATATTTTTCATAATCTAACCGTTCTACCACTTTTATTTCAAAATCCTTATTGTTTACGTTTGAGTCAAACATCCTTTTAGCCTTGTATAATCATTCAATTTCATAACGGTTTCTCATCCTCATTGTTCTCTACGGAACTTTAATAGATCAAGAACATAACATGGTATTAATCTATATACAAATAACCATATAAAAAACGTATTCGCATATAAATATATTAAATATTCCTCCGTTATATCTAGGGTGTACATACCTCGAGTACGACACAACGTTAGAAGGGACCAAACGAATCGACAGCATCAACAAATGCTCGTCAAACCGCTGACCTTTTGACTTCCAAACAGCTTCTTGAGTTTCGTTCCTTCAAGGGCTGCCATCAAATTTACATGGCTAAAGAGGACAAGGAAAAAATGTCATTCCTCACACCCGAGGGTACCTACTATTATCGGGTGATGGCGTTTGGCTTGAAGAACTCAGGAGCTACTTACCAGCGCATGGTAAACAAACTCTTCAAGCCACTACTTGGAAAGACCATGGAAGCTTACGTGGACGACATGCTGATCAAAAGCCAGGTATCTCTCAACCACCTGGCTGACATGCGTGCATCATTCGATATCATGGCAAGATACAACCTCCGGTTGAATCCCAAGAAATGCGTCTTCGCGATTCGTACACGGAAGTTCCTGGGATTCATGGTGACCAAGAGAGGAATAGAGCCCAACCCAGAGAAAATTCAGGCTATCACAGAAATGCAAGCCCCTACCTCTGGTAGGGATGTACAAAAGTTGACCAGACGTCTGGCAGCCCTGAGCAGATTTCTATCTCGGTCTGTAACACCCCAACCCGCGTAACCCGAACCCGTGAGACAGCGGACCGGTGTGCCACTAGATTGGTATCCGAATATACAACATTTTCAAAACAATTTAAAACAAACATTCTATCAATACTTATAAAAATCCATCGGAGTAATTTAAAATAATGCACAAGCCTTTTAAAGTCAAACAACTTGGGATCTTGCCCGAAAACGTAATAAGCATTAAAGTTAATTAAATAAAGCATAACTACAGATTAAAGAGACAGCCATGCCATCGTACATCTCCTCCTCAATGCCCTCCGGGATCGGCTCTAGGTTCATCTGTCTGATCACCTACGGACAGCAAAAAGGAAAACAACGCTATCCGCTCAGCATTGACGCTGAGTGGCACTCCATTGTAGCACAAGAATAAACATAATAATTCAATAATTAAGATCGCGCATATGTTTATCCTTTTAATAAAAATCAATTCAACTTTAAATTCGGTTCTTTAGACGGTTGACCAATAGTCAACTTATTTTCTTTCTTTTCAAAACGATTTAGGTGTTAAGGATTCCTCATTAACTCTTTGACCACCGGTCAAACCAATTTAGACTTTCACGAAAGTCAAACCACTTAACATTTATTGCCTATGACGGAGATAGCCTCAATCCGTAATACCGAAGATAGCCTCAATTCGGTGGAGGTAGGATCCCTCGGGCGATAGCCTCAAACCCAAGATCACAGACCCTCGTGCGCACGTCTTAACCTCACTGACCAGGCCCTGCAGCCGCCCGAGCAATGGCCAGTTTCTATGTTCGACATAATAAACCAATTGATCCTANTTCCTCATTAACTCTTTGACCACCGGTCAAACCAATTTAGACTTTCACGAAAGTCAAACCACTTAACATTTATTGCCTATGACGGAGATAGCCTCAATCCGTAATACCGAAGATAGCCTCAATTCGGTGGAGGTAGGATCCCTCGGGCGATAGCCTCAAACCCAAGATCACAGACCCTCGTGCGCACGTCTTAACCTCACTGACCAGGCCCTGCAGCCGCCAGAGCAATGACCAGTTTCTATGTTCGACATAATAAACCAATTGATCCTAATTACCGATTAGAATTAATTAATTAACTTAATTAATTCATTAAAGTCCTTGGATTTAACCATTAGGTCAAACCTACGTCAACGGAATATCCAGTCAAAGCCTAAGTCAAACGGGACCTAACCCAATTCAAAGTCAAACCTGTTCAGTCAATTCATAATCCTCAACAATTCAATTCAAATAATCAATTTAATTCAATTAACCAATTTAGCCAAATTATAGCATAAACATATATAACGATCCGAACCATTAAATCTATTCTAAACGCTATTAACTTCATAGTACGGACCTGGATTACTCAGAAATCGAATCGATAGCTCGAACGGAAGGCAAATCAACGAAATCGAACGAACAACGGGTCAAATTGAGTCAAAACACAGAATCGAACAATTAATCTGGCGTGGAGATTAATGTGCCCGTGGTATCAATCCGGGGCAGCAACTGGATGCGGCGATGGTGGCGGACGCCGGCGTACAGTGGCGGAGCAGGAGCTGTGCTAAGGGCGACGACGGCTGGAGGCAATTGGTGATGACCAGCGTTCGGCGTGGCGGTGCTGCAACTCGACGGTGAGGATGACAGACGCCGGTAGTGGAGGCGACGAACGGCAGCACGAGGATTGAGAACCGTGGTCGGCGGCGCTGATTCTGGCAGTGAGCGACGGACTTCTGGCGAAGGGGAAGCAGCGGCGACTAGCTATGCTAGGGAAGGACGACGACTGGTGACTGGCTTATGGCGGCGATCGAAAATGATGAAGACGAAGATGGAGATGAAGATCCAGGTCGTGCGGCTCTCAGATCCGAACGGAAGACGCGTACATGATATGCCTTATTTTAATATTAATAGGTTTAGGTTTTACTTATTAATCCCAATACTAGTGGTTTGGGCTCCGGGCCCAAAATACCTGATTAAACAGCCATAACATGAGCTCCATAACTCCGATTCGCGAGCCGTTTGAACCGACGTGATCACAAAAATATTTCCTACGAGATGACATAAAAGTTGGGCTTAGAATCCAAATTATAATTTTAACCCCTTTTTAGGCCCAATTCGTAATCAATTGCTCTAACGAATTTAATTAATTCTTTTGGGCCAGATTTCGGGGCGTTACATGGTCAGCTGAGAGATCCTTGCCCTTCTTCAAAGTCCTGAAGAAGGCCAATGCTTTCACCTGGGACGAAGACTGCCAGAAGGCATTTGAAGAGCTAAAGGAATATCTAGTCTGAGACATGATGTTAACTCAATTTAACATTGAGTACCGGCCAAGATCAGCAATCAAGGGACAAGCCCTTGCAGATTTATTGGTGGAAATGACCGGTCTAACTTCAGACCTCCCAGTTAACCAACCTACCGAACAATGGTGGGAGATGGCCGTGGATGGGGCATCTGGCCCTAAAGGATATGGAGGCGGGGTAGTATTTACCACTCCACAAGGATTCAAGATCTACCATTATGGGTGTATTTAATACTTTAAATCGAAAGATTCTACTTCAATTTTTGGAAAATAATTTTAGTTTTTTATAATTATGGATATTCTTGGGTAAAAGTCAATGAAATGAATTAAAAAATACAAATTACATTTAAAAAATTATACTACATATTAAAGTAAGAAGAACAAATGAAATATACAATCGTATTTATAATTATATATATACTCCTTATTATAGGTATTAATTTTGTTTAAAAAAATAGACAATCCGGTCTTACCGGTCCGACCCGGAAACGATCCGGTCTTGGACCGGAATTTTACTAGTCCAAAATCTTTAGACCAGAGACCGATCCGGAATTTTACCGGTCTAGCCTAGAACCGGTTTTTCCGGTCCGGTTCAGTTTTTCGGTCCGACCCGGATTTTGTACACCCATATCTACCATGTGCTCGTCTTCAACTTTAAATTGACGAACAATGAAGCGAAATATGAAGCTCTAGCTGGAGGGCTCAAACTTGTTCAAGCTCTTAAAATCAACCGGGTCAGTATAAAATCTGACTCTAGTCTGATTGTTGGACAAGTGACCGGCAAAATGGAGGCAAGGGAAGGACGAATGGCGTAATACAAAGATCTGGTGCTGGCCTAGTTGAAAGGTTTTGTAGAATTCAAGATCGCCTAGATTCCTCGGGTTGAGAACGCGGATGCAGATCTTCTTTCAAAATTGACGCAGTCTACCCCGGAACACGTTTCAAAACTTGCCTGGGTGGAAATTCTTGATCGAGCTAGCATTGAGAAGTTGGAAGTTGCCACTATCGGAGCAGTAGGACAACCTGACCGGTCAACCTCCAACACGGTTGGAGTATCATACTGCTGGGGTACTACTGGCCTACAATCGTACAAGACTGTGAAAGGTACGTTCAGAAATGTAAAACATGCCCAGTCTTTTACAAGCACCCGGGTAGATCGGCGACCTACTATCACCCCGTATTGAATGTCATCCCATTTGCTAGATTTGGGGTTGATATCATTGGACCATTCCCAATCGCTCATGGAAGAAAGAAATTCGTAATCGTAGCCATCGATTACTTTACCAAATGGATCGAGGCCGAAGCATTGGCCAACATCACCACACAACAATGCAAGAAGTTCATTTGGAAGAACATTATCACAAGATTTGGAGCTCCCATGAATCTCATCACTGACAACGGCCCACAATTCAGAAATACAAGGTTCACTAAATACTTGGAGGGCTTCGAGATTAAGCACATTTGTTCTTCGGTGTCATACCCCGAAGGCAATGACCAAGTGGAGAACACAAATAAAACGATTGCAGATGGTTTGAAGAAATGGTTGGGAGAAGCGGGAAATAAATGGTTGGAAGAGCTTCCACACATCATATGGGCGTATCGAGTAACACCCAGGAGGGCTAATGGGGAAACTCTGTTTTCTCTAACTTACGGGTGTGAAGCGAGATTACCCATTGAGGCTGAATTCCCAACATTTAGGGAAACAAATTTCCAACCCCAACAGAATGAGGAAGATCATTTGGCCGAACTCAACTTGGTTGAAGAACGAAGGATTTCCGCGGAAGTAAAAGTGAGCACGTACCAGCAAGTGGTGAAGAAATACCACGACAACAAAGTTGGACCGCGATACTTCCAAGTCGGCGACGAAGTACTGCGAAGGAGGGAAGCTAGTAAACCGGGTGATGAAGGAAAGCTGGCAAAGAATTGGGAAGGCCCATACCGGGTGAGTTCCATAATTCGCCCGGGAACTTACCGGTTAGAAACATTGGAGGGTCAACCGGTAGAAAGATCTTGGAATTCTCACCATGTGAGAAAATTCTACAAATAATTGTAATACTAGGCAAGGCATATCTCTGTTATCAAGCAATCGAGTTGATGAAATTCTATACTCTACCCCGTAGTAGCAGAAATGATAGGTCGAACCTATCCAAGGAGGGCTTCCCAGGTGGATCGGATCCACACGAAAAAGCCAACTGAGACGCAGGCCCGGACCTGGCACATTGATTACTACACTGGTCTTGCTCAGTATAATAAAAAATGTAAACCCGGAAGAGGGGCCCCGGATAAGGGGTATGCCTGCAAGAAGGCTGGACCTGGAAGTAGGTTCGAATCGTACTTACACGGGCCCATGAGGTTTGACCGGTATCGGGGAGTCAGCCGAAACCGTCAAATTGACTGGGGACTAAAAGATGCCCATTAAAAAATAGAAGAGGATCATTCACCGCAATGCATCCTATTCTGACCGGTTCGGATTCCCCCTTCTCAAGGAAGACTTGAACGGGAGGGTGAGCTAAGGCCTTCCCAAGATAGTAGATATCAAAGGGCCATTAAAAGACTTAATCACCCGGAAGAGGGGGCCCTGGAAGAAGGGTGAATTTGAACCTTAGAAAGGGTTCGAAACCATTCGACATGGTTAAATCTCTAGTATTCTTACCAGTTAAGGATACTTCAAGAATTTACTAGGTTACGGGTGCCTCCACCTACAACCTACCAGTTAAACAAAAAAAAGGAATACCCCAGTTGGGTATTAATACAACAAAACTTCGAAAGTTCTTCGAGGCGAATCAGTTAACCAGTCAGACCGTAAAGAGGGGACCTACCGGTTAAACTGAAGTTGATCATATTCAAGTGAAAGCTAGAGATTCAAAGAGGTGGTTGAATATTATACCGGTTAAAGTTCCTACGAAGACATCCAAAGGAGCAGAAGCAGAATACCAAAACAAAGCGAAAGGTAACCGGGTAGAAAAACAAACATGGCATTCAACAAAAGAAAATGTTAATTGTTTACAAGAATACCGGGCATACCCGGGCAAATGAAGATGTTTTAAATGTTACAAGAGATAACTAGGCACGGCCGGGGAGATCTACTCTAGGGGGAAGGGAGGAGCAAGCTCTTCATCCGGGATAGGGGCCAAGCCGTATGCTTTAGCGCTGAAGTTCGGATCCCGGTCAGCCAATATCTCATGCGTGGCCTCCCGGTCTCGTTTCTGCCCAGACATGAACCTAAAGGAGCCTATCTGGGTAATCATCTCTTTTCCAAGAGGCTCCCGGTAAATCAGCTTGAAGACCTCCACCGTTCTCTCCAGGTCGGATGTGATGACCCGGGCGGCCTCCTCCAAGTTCTCCCCCCCACTGGCGAGCTCTCCCGGGAAGCTCTTTCTCCCGGGAACCTCCCAAAGGAGGTGGTCGCTCCACCTCAAACCGGCCAAAGGAGTAACGGAAGGGGGGAATTTTATAAAGACAATTTTTTCCTTCCACAACCGGTTGCTTTGTTGAAGGTCAGAGATAAATTTTCGATTGTTCCGCCCCTTGAAATAGACGGAACCTTCGCAACCCAATTTCTCGGGACGGACCTCAAAGACGTAAAGGAAAAGGTGCAGAGAGGGATAGATATGAAGATGGTGGCAGATATTTACAAAGGAATTAAGAAGCATGTGGGCATTGGGTGTGATCTGCCCAGGAAGAATCTGGAAGCAGTGACACACCTCAACTAAAAGGGGCGAAGAGGAAAAAGGATGCCACCCTCTAAGGAAGTGATGTGAAAGCCTATCTTATCCTCCCGGTGAGGTTCGATAATGTTGGGTTAGTTCTCATCGTATTCGAGAACATAGCCCTTAGGGAGGTTCCTACGGGCTTTATTTAAAGATATCTTAGAGACGTGGGGGTGGATGTCTGAGACATAAAAAGTGGGGAGGGGAGAGTAACCGGCTACTTCCAACCTTTCCTCCCACTACACATAGGACTCATTATCTCGATCATAGAGAGTCGGTTCGTCATCAACCGGTTCGTCCCTCTCCATAAAAACCTGACCAAGCATCTGGTTGACCGACTCCAGTTCGGAGACAGTGGAGTCGGGGGCTGACCTGGGTTCGAAGTCAGAAGAATAATACACGGTCGAAGAAGAAGAGGTCGTTGAATCCTCAGATGCGTAGGCATCTGAGGACGAAATATTCTGACAATCGGAAGAAGACATTGGACGGGAAAGGAAGTGAAGAAAAGAAGGAAAGCTAATGAAGAAAAGAAGGAAGCTTACTTGACTCGGAGGGCAAGGAAGCTAGAGTAGAGGACTTAACTGGTGAAACTCGGAAAGACGCGCGAGAGAAAGTGAAGGAATGAATGGGATGAAGGCCTTTATATAGGCGAGGAAAGATGAGAGAAAGGGCGACGTGGCACGTGGAGAATGCGCCGCGTCAGGCGGCGCCATCATTCCACCTGGGAAGACGAAAGGACGCAGGGATAACCACACTCAGCAGGCAACACGTGTCAAAACTGACACTTTTCAAATTCAAAATTCAAAATTTTTTAGCGGGAAGAGCCTAAAATGAAAGGTAACCACTGTTGAGAGGGCAGCGGAAATACAAAAATTTAATGTCCTAATAGTGATTACTAGCCCAAAAACACATACTAAAACTATAGCTAGTGATAGAAAGTTATACCTTCTCCAGTAAAGCGGTAGGAACGAGAAGTCGAGCAAAAGGTGTTGAAGGAGCAAACGTAGCCGTTCAAGCGTCCGGCCTCCAACTTTGACACACGAACAATCTCTGGAGTCTGCTATAATCTTTATGCTAGTAAAGATTATAATAGTATATTTAATATAAAGATTTAAGAGGGATAATTTTAATCTTGTATATTAAATAGTAGAAAATACATCAATAATATTTTAAACAAAATATTATAATAATTTTCTACACCCAAAATAATTTTGGAAACCAAAATTATTTTCTCTCTCTTGCTCCTTCACTTGGCCGAAACTCTCCTCACTACTTCAAAAACTTTTGGCATTTTTCTTTCAACACAAAAAGGAAGACTTTTAAAATGGGGAGAAAACATGGACATTAGCTAAAGTCCAAAATAAAAGGAATCTTCATTCTTAGCCAAGTAATCAAAATAAAGCATGTCATGTGTTAATGTGCCATGTACTACACACATACATGCACATACTTAAAAAAAAAGAATTTCAAAATGCTACCAAAAGTGTATTTTATTTGACATCAATAATTTTTATGATATAAAATAAAATACCCAAAACATTTTAAAATAAGTATATTAAAATATACTTTAAAATAGTTTTTATCAAAATAATTATTTTCATAATTAAAATGACACTCCAAAATAAAATGTACATAATATAATATATATAATGTAACATATATATACATGTACATGGCTAAAGCAAATCACTTACATACATGTATACACGCACTCAAGTAAACCCATATACATATACACATATATGTAATAAGTGGCGTGTACAATATATATGTGTGTGTGTGTGTCTATATATATATATATATATATATATATATATATATATATATATATATATATATATATATATATTAAACATTTTATTTTACTCCCTCCGTCCCCCTAAGATGTTCTCATTTTGACTTTTGGTGATTTTTAAGGAGAGTTGAAAAAAGGTTAAAGTTTACCATAATACCCTTAATGAAAAATGGGTGGAGTGTATTAAATGAGGTGGGTGAGGTGTAATAAATAAAGTAAGTGGGGGTAGTTGTGGTATTTTAATTGTTAAAAAATGAAATGAGAAGATCTATTGTGGACATAGAAAAAAGGCTATTGAGAAGATCTATGAGGGACGGAGGGAGTACTATTTTACAATATACAGATTAAATATTATTCCTTCTTATAATCCTACTCTTTAAATTGTTCAAAGTGTGTGACCCATATAGGCACTTATAAAACTGGCCACAGTATTGACTCTACACCAATACTATAAGTAATAAGCGGTAACTAGCAACACATTATTACCCCCAGATTATAAGTTCAGATGTTTGCTCCGTCAAAACCTTTCTACGACTAAGACTTTGTATAACGTAGATCCTTTTGTCCCAATGTCTTAACTTAGTGTAAGGGATATTGTAACACCCCAACCCGCATGACCCAAACCCGTGAGACAGCGGACCGGTGTGCCACTGAATTGGTATCCGAATTTGCGACATTTTCAAATCAATTTTAAACAAACGTTCTATCAATACATATAAAAATCCATCCGAGTAATTTAAATTAATGCGGAAGCCTTTTTAAAGTCAAACAACTTGGGATCTTGCCCGAAAACGTAATAAGCATTAAAGTTAATTAAATAAAGCATATCAACAGATTAAAGAGACAGCCACGCCATCGTACATCTCCTCCTCAATGCCCTCTGGGATCGGCTCTAGGTTCATCTGTCTGATCACCTACGGACAGCAAAAAGGAAAACAACGCTATCCGCTCAGCATTGACGCTGAGTGGTACTCCATTGTAGCACAAGAATAAACATAATAATTCAACAATTAAGATCGTGCATATGTTTATCCTTTTAATAAAAATCAATTCAACTTTACATTCGGTTCTTTAGACGGTTGACCAACAGTCAACTTATTTTCTTTCTTTTCAAAACGATTTAGGTGTTACGGGTTTC